CACCTAAATGCTTCATGGTAGCATAATTTACCATATATTTTTGTCAAATAGTTGACAGTAAATGCAAAAATTAAAAATTTGGCACTATATTTTGCCAATTTGTGCACCCTAAAGTGATACATCTCAATAAACAGATGAATTTATTTTTTTTAAATTCGACTAGTTTATTAGTCGCTATTATAAAACAACCTGATTCGTTAAAAATATAAATGGGTGAGGTATAATCTTATAATTCAACATAATCCCTCTGCATAACAGTGCACTTACAGTGTGCAGTGGTCGTCATAAGTAAAGGTGCGAGTAAAAGAAGAAGAAGAAGAAGAAGAAGAAGAAGAAGAAGAAGAAAAAGAAGAAAAAATGTTATTCCATGTCAAGAAACATCTGGACGTTTCGGAAAGGTTCTAGAAGGTTAAAGTGAGCTATATAAGTCGGGTATCCTGACGTCAGGAGTCTACCCTGAAAAGGAGGATAACTCCTATAGCAGGGTATTAGGAAAATAAAATGTCCTAGAAAATGCAAGCAAAACTTATGAAAAAGTCAATATTAAACTAAAAAAAAAAAACGTCAGGAGTCAGTTTTGGTGATACAAGTACGAGAACGAAAACGACGAGAACTTAGTTAAGCATTTAACACCGTTTACACCATTTGTTATACGAGTGCAGAAATTCCTTCGAAAAATGATCCCAGACTATATATTGGTAAGTCAAATATCAAATAAATAATTTATTCGATACGATACATTTATATTGAATTTTTTAATAACTAATTAAGCGCATCGCGGATTAGCTTCTCCACCATTAAATCACAGTCCACTTTAAATTTATCAACGCACCAGACGTTGTACGTTTATGTTATCAGTAGAATATTTGAGTTGTAAAAGTTAAATTAAAATAAATTGAGTTCCAAAAACCAGCGTAACAATACGTTAAAAATCAAGTCAGATTGATCCACCCCACGTTTTTAGTTTCTTTTTAATTAATCTTGGGCTATTTCTAAATTGATTAGTTTTTGTACACATTTTCTCTCCTTTAGTTTTGGGGCACCCAATACTCAGTGGCTAGGAACCAGGAAGTATTAAAATCCTAACTACATATGTTTTGTTTCCGGAAAGATTCTTTTATTAGCCCAAAAATATTACATCTACACTCTGTACTGACAGTTCTAAAACAAGGCTCAAAATGCGAAATATACTCCAGATCCTTAAACTTAAACGCACAAGTATTAAAAGTAATTAAAAAAAAAATCGTGCAGATGCAATCATCACATCCTAAGCAAATTTATATGGAACCACCCCTAAGGTATTCCCTTTCTAACAAAAAAAGGATCATATAAATCGGGCAAGGTGGTAAAGAATTATAGGTAATAATACATAAAAAATGAAGAGGTTGATGATTTTCTTATGGGCCCAATTATTAGATTTTGGCCAAATTTATATGGAACCACCCCTGAAGTATTCCCTTTCTAAGAATCATTGAAATCGGACACCGTGTTAAAGCATTATCACTGAACATACATAAAAAAATATAGCGACGAATTGAGAACCTTCTCCTTTTTTGAAGTCTGTTAAAAATGGTATGTGAGCAATAGTGCCAGTGCAGTTCAAACCGAGCTCACGGCGGTTATCATAGCAGCAAAATAAATCACCAGAAATAATATAACTGGAAGGAACATACTCATCTATACAGATAGTAGACAAGCACTACTCACCCTGGACAGATTACGAATTTATTCAGAGTTAGTACTAGAATGTCACGAAGCTTCGGCCGAAGTATCCATCAACAATATGGTCACATTAAGATGGATCACGCCACATCAAAAAGTAACCTCTTACTGATTCACTAGCTAAAAAGGCAGCCAACCAACCAACCATCCAAATACTTTTTGGACCTAGTCCTTCTATTGGGCTAACAATATCAGTAGTGACAAACCTAATTAAAGAACATTGTAAAATTCAAGAAAAGATGGGATGAAACAAAAAGCTGCAGAGTTGCCAGGGAGCTTTTAAGATATCCTGACAACTCTACAGCAACAAATACTTGACTATGAGTAGACAGAACATGCGTCTGATCACAGACATTCTGAATGGTCCTTGTCAAGAACCGAAGCATCTCTATTGCATGTGGCTGTCAGAATCCGCACGCTGCAGGGGGTGCGAACAAGAAGATAAGAATATCGAGCAGAATAAAGTATTAAGGAACATCGTCGATGCACCCTGGTACTGCCGCAATACTGATCTTCATACTTCACAGGGACCTTCATACTTCATAGGAACTGCTCCAACATGGGAACGTTGTGGTTATCCAGCTCCTCAACAACGCCAGTTTTATAAGAAGACTCAAGACTAAGTCTTTTGAGTTGGTTCAGTGATGTTAGATAGTGCGAGTAGGGCCGCCAAGAGCCATGGTGGGGCCCCGGGGAAAAACACTGGCAAGGGCCCTCTCCCCACATATTGTAATCTATTTTTTTAAAGCTGCCGGGCTCCCTTGGGGCTCGGGCCCCGAGATTTTAGCCCTCCTGCCCCTCCCTCTCGTCGGGCCTAAGTGCGAGTATAGTGCAAGTAGACTCTAAGGTACACTAGTGAGTAGAACCTTAGATTATGAAGTTTTTCAGGTTCTGTCATGAAATAGCGCCTATCAAAAGAGCTCCCGAACGAAATAGTGCCATCAAAAGAGTGCCTGAACGAAACGCGTATCAATAGAGCGCCAGTCAAAACAGCGCTCAAACCAAAAATCCTTTTTTAAAATAGCGTCAGTCAAAATAGGACCAAAAATCACATAAAATTTTTAAAAAACTAAAATAATTTACCTAACCCGTGCGGCCTAGAGTTATCGCGGGTTTGAATCGCAAAAAAATATACATCAAACTTTCGTTTAATTTTAAATGGCTCCAGGCCGCACAGGTTAGGTAAATTAGTTTTTTAATTTTTTCTTTTTGGGTAAATTTTTTTTGCGAAGCAACCCGAAATTGCCAGGTTAGGTAAATTAGTTAATTTTTTTTTTAATCAATGCATGTAAAAACAATAGCGCACATTTTGAAAAGCGCTATTTCGATTCGTGATAGAGGCATTTCGGACTGATGCTGTTTCAATACTCAGTAGTTCAAAAGACTCTATTTTATTGAAGCACTGTTATGACTGTCACTGTTTTGGTACGCGCTATTTCGTTCAGGCACTCTTTTGATACGCGCTATTTTGAGTAAGCGCTATTTTGATCGGGCGCTATTTCATTCAGCGCTACTTAGATCAGGTACTCAAATAATAGCGCTATTTTGGTAGGCGCTATTTTGTGAAAGAGCCAGTTTTTCAACCCTAAATAAGTTAGGTCAAAATAAAATCGCTAAACATTATTCCAATACTTTTAAAAGCCTGGAAAATTTAAATACAAGGTGTCCCAACGAAAAGTACCCACCATAAATAAGTGCGGAGGTAATAACTTTCTAAAAAAGTGGTGAAATACGTCGACCTTTATTTCAAGGCGGACACATTTTACCATAATACTTGTATACGTAACGTCACCCCTCTACTCTACACAGTCACACCCTTTAAAAAAATTTAAATTACAAGGGGGGTCGAGTGATACCTCTTTTAAAAGAGGTCTACATTTAAAATTTATTAATGGGTTTGTGGAAATAACTGGTTTAATAATTTTGTATTTTTAAAATAAAAACCCGAAATTAAAATGATCGCTTTTTTCTTCAACAGATGATTGTTGGAATTACCCAAATACACGAAACTGGATAGCACACCAACTAATTGTTATTAGAAAGTTATTACCTTCGCAATTGTTTAGGGTGGGTACTTTTCGTTGGGGCACCCTGTATACCTTATGAAGACATTAGTGAATGTAAGTTTGATAGTAAGAGTGATTATTTTGACGAGATTAATGTTTAAATACTTTTGTTTACTGAAGTGTATGTATATTATACTTCCTATATTACTACAGTATAAGACATTTTTTATTTTTTTTAATTGTGTGTATTAGAGGATAAAATAGCTATAAAAAAATTTATAGCATATAATGAAAAATCATTTGAATAAAAAATGTATACTGCAGATCTGTCTAGGCTAGATAATCGCAAATGTTCGAACACGAGTCTTTTTTTTTTGTATAATCTTTTATTTTTACAATTATTGACTAGAATTACTACACCACGATCTTCATCAGAAATTTGTAACAATTTTCCGTTATTTTCTAAGTGAGCCTGGTGCAATGAAATCTAGCACTGCAATGACAAGTAAGACTAAGAAAAATAAAAGCTTGTAGTAAAAAAATCAATTTTAAATAATACTTTGATTTTGGATTCATTAAAAAAAAGAAAATGTGACCTGTTAACAATAATTTTCCAAGTAACACTAATGCTTTTATTGCGATCTTTAAGATCGTTTTAAAACTATACCAAAAATTTCAAATAAAAACAAATTATTTTCAAGACATCCCCAAGACAACCATAAAGCAGCTTTTAGCCAAAAAAGGGCCAATCCTAAAAATGCCTTCAAGAATAAATTTTAAAACTATATTAAAACCATTTCCTTTTAATTTTATATTCTTAAAGAGTTCTTCAAGGTAACTTTAAATTTATTTATTAAAACATTAACTCTTGCATATAAAATATGTTTGCGACAGTACCTACCTTGAGAATTATTATAATTAATCCAAATAGTTTACTAATGTTGGACAACTTTTGTAAGTCTCTATAATGGTAAGGCGTAGGAATTATTAAAAATTCGTAAAAATCGTGTACTTTGTACCAAGTTTTTGAAATTTCTGTTGTTTTAGGTATCGTCTTAAGGTTTTAGAAAACCATACCAAAGAAAGTATTAAGTATATAGTAAAAGAAAGAAATTAAAGATAGAGCAACAGACACAGGCAAGAGATCAACATAAATAATTATAAGAAATGTAAAGATAAAATTAGTTTTCTTACAAATATGTTTAGTTACAACTTTACCATAGTAACATTTTTGGTTAGTCACTGCAATTTATTAAATAAAAAAAATATTACCTTATGTCAATAATGCCGAATCCGTCAGTTACTCCTTCCTGCACAATGGTATTAGTCCTTCCATCGCACATGTGGTAAGAGACGCACATTCGCAACCCCTTGGTAGATCCTTCCCCACATTTTTCCGCTGAACCATAGTCACCCAAACCGACTTGGGGAACCTCTTCTAATCCAACGGGTACAAACTCTCCGGTACCAGTACCAAGATTGGTTGGATTCGTTCCAGAAGAGGAATTAAATATTTCATTTATTTTTCTGCGTGTTTCATCGTCCACAATATCGTTCTGACATTGAACGAACAACACAAAAGAAGTTAATATGAGCGTCAAGTGCATTTTAGTAAAGCTCTGTATATACAAGGTCGGTTTACAAATTAAATACAAATCATGAGAAAATAATTGCACCAGTACCGATTATTAGTTACCAAACTGCTTTTGTTTCGTATTCAAACTGAAGACTAAAACTAGCGCGCCGTTTTTATCCCCACCATTTTATAAGAAACGAATTATTCGTTGCTGGAAATACCAGATTTAAGATTCAGTCATTTGTACGATAATTGTGACATCACAGATTTGTGTATTTACTTCATTCTCCTCATTATTAAAAATAAATGTATTTTTACATCGAACAAAAGGTCAACAAGATTTGGGATTCTTATCGACAACAAATCATTCTTAGAACTCAACTCATGGTTATTTGTTTATTTCAAAATCAATTATATTAAGTCCATTAAAAAGAATAACTTTTGATTTCTATTACAAATGCAAATATAAATGGAAACAAATGCAAATTCATCAGAGGCGGTTAATAGAATTTTAATTTTTGTTTAAAGAATTCTATAGTGTTATATTAATCATGTCGCAAAATTGTTGGATGGAACATTGGAACATTAAATCATCAATTTAAAACTTATAGTTCTTAAATTAACTCATTTCCATGTTTCACTTTAGCAAATTATACTTAATTTCATTATTTTCACGTTTAGTTTTATAAATAAGAACATATTAACTAAAAGTTTTCAAAATAAGTGTCTATGGTGAAATTAAATATTTTAACTAAATTCAATATACTGACTTAATTTTTTTTAGAAAATTAGGAATTAGTTAAGAATTGTTGTATTTTTTTATTTAACACTCTTTTTAGTAACTATAAACCTATTTCCCTACTGAAAAAATTGAATCAAATGTTCCAATTAGGACGGTGAAAGATTTGAATACAGAAACATAATTATTAATTACATAAGAGAAAAAAAATACTGAGGCCCTTCTTATGGGGCCTCAGTATTGCATTCGTGCAGACAAAAAAATTTTCTGACCCTCATTTTTTAAAACTTTTTCATGTTTCTGATCATTCTGAATCCAAAAATCCAAAAAAAAAAAAATTGTCTGGTCGTCTGTATGTATGTATGTATCCTGGCACGATAACTCTAGAACGAAAGTTCTGATTAACTTGCGGTTTTGATTTTCTTGAATAATTACTTCTAACTTAGAACCCTATTGATTTTCAGAATTTTCGGTTCATCCTAACTACTTTAATAACATTTTTCTTAAAATCCGCATATGCATTCCTTATGTGACAATTTTAGGAATTCCAATTATTTCTAAAGTCAAAATTCCTAACATTCTTCACATTCCATAAATTGCAAACATTCTCTAACGACCTGTCAAACAGCTGTTGATAGTAAAGGTGAAATTTCTAAGGCGGGTTGCGACCTTCATATTTGCAACCATATAGCCATTTTGGAGGCTATTTTCATTCGAAATTAGTCGCCAAGAATGCCAATTTATGAAAAATATATAAGCAGTTTCTTAAAAATGACTTTTTATGGTGGTGCTATTAAGCGTACTATTTCGCCCCTAGCCACAAAAATACCTTCATCAAATTTACTGGTTCTCTGTCGCAACCCCATAGAATAATTAACCGGCCATTTTATTTGGCAAAAATCAAAATAATGCTTGACTGTGCCTGTCAAGTATCAAAATGTCAACTGTGATATGTGAATGGCTCTTAAATGTGAAATTATTTAAAAATATATACTTCTTTTGATATTTATTGCAAATAATAAATATCTCTCATTTCACGCTTTCCATAAATTAAAGGTACAGCAAGACAGATAATATAAGGTTCTTGTACAAAGCACTTTTTTATTATATAAAAGAGAAGTAGGATATAATACCCATTTCAAATTTGGATCATTTATGATACCGAGGTATTTTGTTGTGTTTTTCATTTTAATTATAAAGTTGTCATTTATTTGTATGTTGAAAGAAGGCCTTTGTAAATTACATTGCTCTCTATGGATCTACTTTAACACAAAAATAGTTTTGTGGCTATAAGTTGCTATAACCTATCTTCGCAAAACTATTAATAATTTAAACATAGTAAGTAGTATCAAGTAATTTTTTAAAATAAAGTACATGATCTCAAAACAAATAATCTATAATAAATGCGGATAAAACAAGGGGTAAAATAACAACAAATTAAGGGAAACACTTAAAAAGGGCAGGTTTAAAGAGTATTATCACAAGAAAGTATATCCGTTGTTTATTTATCAAGTATTGTTTGAGATTACTTTTGAATACATTTATTTATATTGAATTTTTTCTAATAGATCTGATGCGATGATAATGACATTTTTATTTTATAAATTATTAATATCAGTCATTTCATGAACATAATTCTGAACTGAAAGCCAATTTATTTCATTTAACACAGTTGCAATACTCATCCTTCTGTCCTTTATTAATAGAATATAAAAAGGCGAAGTAAGAAGCCCAAATATTTTACATGAGCAGGCTTAAGAGGTAAAGGGGCCAATTATTATTGGATAAGTTGCTCGAACAAGTTTTTAAACCCTAATCAAAAGGCGATATAGAATGGTTTTAAAAATCAAGGCTTGTGAAAGTAAAACCAAAAAATTCAACGTGTTAATACTACTATCGGCTTTCGTTATTTCTTTCCAAGTTAAATCATTTCTCGTTTTTGTTACGCTACGAGTTTACCCATGCGGGCCTCGACCATTTTAGCGTCTCTCGAATTAAAAATGAGTTAAGCAACAAATACCTGAGAGAGCTTACAGATGAACAAATAACTGTTTACTCATTATGAAAAGTTGTCAAAAAAATAAACCAATCCATCATAAGTACTCCAAATACGAACAGAAAATAGAATGTGGACAAGAAGCAGGCGCGGATCTGGGAAGATTGACGTTACATGAAATGCCACACTAAACTTGACGTTTAAGTGTGGTTCACAATTAAAATCGGCCCATACTGCTGGTTCACCCTTTATTTCTCGAAAATATTCGAAACATTATTACAAAATATAGGCAGAGTTATTTTTTAAATAAATATAAAGTATTGTCTCCAAAACTATTTATAGTTTATTTATTTAAAACACACTATTTACAATTTATTTATCACGTACTAATTAATTTATATAATACTTAGGCACTAACTCACAATTCTAATTTATTTATTACAATTTAACTTTTCTGTCCAATACGTTTTACTAAACTAAACTGTCCGCCGATGAGCCGGGCTATTTGTACCAAGTCCAACTCTGCTACGAGAAGTATCTAGACGCTCCCGAAAATTCCATCTCTGACTAAACGGCATGCCTCACCCGTTCTAGCCGTTTCTCGAGCGTCAGCGACATTCCTAGCAGATTCCGTCGTTTCGAGCATGAGTCGGATGGCAAGCTGAAGGTCGCTTGCTTTAGACAGAGACGGCTTAGAAATGTTCATGACAGTAATAACATCTGTTATTAAGAGAAGTAACATTCAGAAGATATTGAAAAAACACAAGTTTCATCCCTACTAGATACATCTGGTACAAGAACTTAACGAAGACGATTTTGAAAGGCGATTACAATTTTGTGAAATTATGACTGAACGGGCAATAAATGATCAGCACGTTCTTTTCAACTGTCGTTATTGGTACGATTCAAATCCCAGAGTATTTAATGAAGTGCATACGCAACATCTGGAAAAACTGAATGTTTGGACTGACTTTTTGGTAACCATATAATTGGAACCTTTTTTAACTTTAATCGCAGAGATGAATCTGGAATTATTAGAAAACGCCATTTATCCAGCATTACTAGAGTTGATTGAGAATGACGATCAGCATACATCAAACAACTTATTATTCCAGCAGAACGGTGCACCACCCCATTTTGCACTGACTGTTCGTCAGTATTTGGATCAAACGTTTCCAGGTCAATAGAACAGAAGCAGAGGAAGTATTGAATGACCCCCACGGTCTCCGGATCTAACCCCGTTAGATTTTTTATGGGGTCACTTAAAAACTAAAATGTATGCTACCCAACCAACATCACTGGAAAATTTGCGACAACGGATGATAACTGATGAATGTCGTCAAATCACTCCACAGATGCTTCAAAATATCCGAGAGCGTTTTGAACAAAACCTCTATTATTACATGGAGGCCCAGGGTCAGCATTTACTCGAGTGACTGGTAAGCATTTAAAAAAAATAAAAATCGTTCAAAGATAATGGGTGGGAAGACAGTAGCGATTTAAATCTCGGGAATTATAATCTAGGTAAAAATACCTTCAAAATAAGTTATGATTCGAACCCTCTTTCCATTTAAGATTTAAGGATTTAAGGGTGAGTCTCACCCCCGCTAGAGGGTTTCCGTTCAGGGGGTGAAACCAGCGCAAAAAAATGTTTCCCCCTAAAATCAACAATTAACGGGTCCGAGCGTTTTTTCGTAAATGACCTGTAGTGCCCAAAATTGGTTCTGTTTTAAATGGCAATGCTGTATATTTGGAAAATCTTCACATTTATTAAATATACTACCCTTTTAGGACAGAAAACTCTTTATGATTCTGCATTACTTTCTCATATTATATTTCATTCAGAAGTATTGTTTCTGAGTATAAATTGTTCATATTTACTTATTCCAAGTTTTTGAAGATTTAATGCTTCTATTGCACTTTCAAAATGTTCATATGAAATAGGTGACTACTGTAAATTGTAGTTACTTATTGTAAACAAATAATTAGTCATTTTCCTGGGAAGATTTAAGAAAGATCCGCTAAGGACAGCACCGGTGGGGGGAGGGGGGGTACACATGTTTCGGATTCTCTATTGACAACTACGTCAAACGTACGTTTTATTATTATTATTAGAATAAATAAATATTGTGATAAAAAAAATTAAAAAACAAATTGTCATGTCTACAAACATTGTGCGTTTGCCCAAAGTATATTAACCGTTGAGTAGCGACAGCTGGGGAACCTAATTCTAGTGCGCCGACGCGAATTAGAGAGGCGAGACGTCTTCTAAAGACGTAAGCAACCCCTTTCACTTTAGTCCGGCAGCTGATATAGGAATTCGTTGTTGTGGATTTATTAGAGCTCTTTTATTGTGTTTTTGTTAAGATTTTTTGGGGTTTTGTGGGTTTTCCATTATGCCAGGAAATGCATGTGCTTATCAACCTTGCTCGACAAGGTCTGGTGATAACAAATCACTTCCAAATTGTTGTATGAATAACTTGTCAAATCA